AGGGGCGACAGCTCTCGTGGGGATGGAGAGCTGCGCGACAGGAGGGTGGCGCAGGCTGCCCGGCGGGGACGTCCGCTCCCTCCCTGTGAGTCCCCGGAGAGAGGAAGCCGTCGGCGGGATGGCGCTGCCTGCCCGTGCCCTGCCGCCGCGAGGTTCGGCGCTGGCCCCGCTCCCAGCCGGCCTGGGGAGCGACTGTTGAGCACAGCCTGTGGGGCTGGAGGGAAGAGTCTGGGCTGGGGGGGATCCAGCCCTCCCAACCCCCTCCCCCCAGGGCATCAGTTCCTGCTGTCTGTCCTCATCCCACCACCACCTTCCTGTGGGGCTTTCTGGGGAGCCCAGGCTGGGACGTGGAGGCTCAACCTGGCCGCAGACCTCTTGGACCAGCAGTGGGGGCTGAGCAGGGAGCAGGTCCTGCTCCCCCTCTCTGGCAGAAGAGAGCCAAGCTTCCATCAATGCGCTATTAATGTTAATTTTTATGATTAACATTGTTTCTCCCCTTATGGTGGAAATTTCTTGTGCCTTGTCACTCCCACAATTCACTTCTCTCCCAGCGTCTGGTGTTTTGCCAGATTCAGGAGAGAAAAAAATCCACTGTCAGAATTCTTACTTGAAATCCCAATTGGGCAAACGGCCCCAAATCCTGAGCTTTTTACCAAAAATAGACTCAAAAACTTGAACAGAATCATCCTGCCTGTTTCTGCTGGGAGCGAACCCCTGGTCCTGGGTGGTGAGGAGGGTCGAGGTATCTCTGGGGTTGGACTGGGGGTGTCACAAGGACCTTCCTTGGTGACCAGAGGGGTGTTGGCCCTTCATGGTCCTAGGGTTTGGTTTTTGGGCTCTGAAGCCGACGTCCTGGCTGGCGCTGCCCGGGTTCATCCGTCCCTGAACCGCGGGTGGGGCCGGGCAGCGCGGTGGCACCGCGGCAGAGTCCACGGTTAACCCACCGTGCCCGTCTGCCCCCGGTGCTGCAGGTACACGGTGCTCTTCTCGCACGGCAACGCCGTGGACCTGGGGCAGATGAGCAGCTTCTACATCGGCCTGGGCACCCGCATCAACTGCAACATCTTCTCCTACGACTACTCGGGCTACGGCGTGAGCACAGGCAAGCCCTCGGAGAGGAACCTCTACTCCGACATCGACGCCGCGTGGCAGGCGCTGCGGACGCGGTGAGCAGGGCGCCGGGCAGGGGGAAGGGAGGACGGTGGCCAGGAAAAGCCTGCGGTCCGGCAGTCTGGAAAACAGGAAATCTCTCAGAGAGGGA